CAAATCTCAATTCATTCACTGATACTGCCATTCAAAATTTCAAATCTCAATTCATTCACTGATACTGCCATTCAAAATTTCAAATCTCAATTCATCACTGATACTGCTATACAGAATTTCCTACTGGTGCAATATTTAATCATAGAAATTGCTGGAAGTGCTCAGCAGGTCTGGTAGTGTCTGTGGAGAGAAAAATTTAGTCCAATTTGCCTGTTCTTCAAAATGTTAACTCTGTTTCACTCGCCACAGATGTTGCCAGACCTGCTGACTGTTTTCAGCACTTTCTGTTTTCCCGTCAGTATTTCACTTCCATCTTTAATCAGAGTGTTGGAAGGTTTTAGAATGCAGGGTAAGTTGAAAATATAGATAGCAGACTGTCAAAGAACAATGTGAGAAGCTGAAATGGACTGTGCATGGGAAGCTGCTGGCAAATTCATTCCATGGGATATGAAGAAACAGTTGGAGGCACTGGACCCTGCAAAGGCTACGGGCCCTGACAACATTCCAGCATTAGAACTGAAGACTTGTGCTCCAGAACTTGCTGCACCCCTAACCAAGCTGTTCCAGTACAGTTACAACACTGGTATCAAGTCGACAATGTGGAAAATTGCCAGGTAGGTCCTGTGCACAAAAAGCAGGACAAATCCAACCCAGCCAATTCCCACCCCATCAGTCTACTCTCGATCATCAGTAACGTGATGGAAGTAACAGTGCTATCATGCAGCACCTGCTCAGCTATAACTGCTCAGTGACGCCCAGTTTGGGTTCAGCCAGGACAACTCAGCAACTTATGTAAGGAAAGCTGGCAGTTCAGGTCGGGACGCTTCTTCAGACATCCCCACCTGAAACATCAGCTTTTCTGCTGCTCTGATGCTGTCTGGCCTGCTGTGTTCCTCCAGCTCCACATTGTGTGTTATCTCAGACTCCAGCATAGGCAGTTCTTACTATCTCTCAGCTCCTTATATTAAAGGCTTAATATGAACTGAAGAGCTGAACTCAAGGAAAGTGACCACCCATGACATTTGACTGAATGAGACATCAAGGAACCGTAACAATTTTAGAGTCAATGAGAATCAAGGGGAAAACTCGTTGCTGGTTGGAGTCAATTTTATCACAAATAAAGATGGTTGTGGTTGTTGGAGATCAGTCATCTCAGCTCCAGGACATCTCTGCAGGAGTCCTTCAGGCTAGTGTCCTACGCCCAAACATCTTCAGCTGCTTCATCGATGACCTTTCCTTCATCATAAGATCAGATTTGGGAATGTTCACTGTTTGCAGAATATGCAGTACCACTCACAACTTCTTAGATTCTGAAGCAGCCCTTGTCCAAATGCAACAAGACCTGGACCATATTCAAGTTTGGGCTGATTAGTGGCACCACACATATGCCGGACAATGACCATCCCCAACAATACAGCACCGAACTATTATCCCTTGACATTCAATGGCATGACCATTGCTGACTTTCCCCAAAATCACATCCCTTGGCCAAAAACTGGACAAGACTTGCACTAAAATACTGTGGCTGCAAGAATATTTTAAAGTCTGGTAGTTTCTGTGATGGATAAATATTCTCTTGACTCCTCAAAGTCTCTTTACCAACTACAAGGCACAAGTCAGGAGTGTGATATATACTCCCCACTTGCCCTGGATGGGTGCAGTTTCAACAATATTCAAGAAGCTCGACACCATCCAGGAAAAAGCAGCCCGCTTGATTGGCATCACAAAAGTTCACTCCACCTATTGATGACACACCGTGGCAGCAGTGTGTACCATCTACAAGACATACTGCAACAACTCATCAAGACTCCTCAGACAGCACCTTCCAAACCTGCAACCTCCACCATCTAGAAGGACATGAACAGCAAAAGCATGGGATCAGCCATCATCCGCAGTTCCCCTCTAAGCCATGCATCATCCTGACTTGGAAATATATCACTGTTCCTTCAGTATCACTGTTTCAAACTCCTGGAACTCAGTAACAGCATTGTTGGTGTAGGCAATGTCACATCGACTGCAGCTGTTCAACAAGGTTGCTCATCATCACCTTCTCAACGGTACTAAGGATATCCAACAAATACTAGCCCAGCCAGTAATGCCCCAAATTGCATGAATGAATTTTTAAAGAAGGTTTGGAATTTTAGCTCGTTGTTGTTGTTAAATATACTGCAGTGTCACTGAATCAGTTTCTGTTTTATTTTTCTCTGTACAGTTGTTCCTTTGCTCGGGGGAAGGTTGTGCTCACAACGAGACAATACCTATCCACTACAGACACGTGGCACTTGCCTTTCTAACTTGCTTCCTGTTTGCAACACACTTACCAGAGCGCCTTGCTCCAGGGAGATTTGACTATATTGGTAAGGCTTTGGGAAAAGTTGGAATATCTATGCTGTAAGCTCAGTTATCCTTAGTTTTGTGATCCTTTGTGTTACTCACTCGTTCCGTTATTGCTAACCCTATGAATTAAATGTCACCCCTCAGTATGTCCAAAATTGAGGGTAGGATGATAGGAAGGAACCAGTTTGAAACCGGCTTGAATGTGATGTTTGCAGGTTAACCTCAGTAATCCCTGGCTCTGCATCACAGCATTATTCTAGAAATGTGACCCTTGGCATCCAGTTTTAAATGTAGAAATGTCTAGACAACTTATTCAAAGTTGTCAATACTTGAACCAAAACCAACAATGTATAAATCCAAAGCCAGCAAAAGCTGGCAACATCTGCCTTGACTGTGAAAAGGATATCCAACAGATGATGCAAGAGGAGTCCCACGGCATTTTTTTCAAAAATGTGATGAATATGTTTTTGTTTGGGTTTTTGTCCCTTTCCCTTCTGACACCAGTGGTGCTCATGTGACCACACAGCACCAACCTGCAGTGCACTTGGGTTCATCCTGAATTCTCACCAGGTCAGCTCCTTCCTGAGTCTCTGACAGTCCACCAACATCAAATGTTGGTTAATTGTAAAGTTCACTGTTGCTTTGTAATGTTATATTCATTATGTTACCCAGGCCTTATCCAGAGTGCTCAATTCAGAGAGCACCAACAAAGAGACTTGTCGTTGGCTCCTTGTCACAGTTTGAATAGGATGTGATCTGGGCCAATTGATCACAAGTCTCCATCAATGATGTTTTTTCCCCTGTATTCTGTGTACTAATACCTCAGGAAGGTATTTGGGGGAATGACCTGCACCTAAAGCCTCTTTCTGAGCTTAAGCAATGCTTAACTTCTACTAAGTTTGAAAGGGATGAAGTTAGAGGGCGACAGAGATAGGGCTGGAGAGGGGGATTAGCTGGATAGCTCTTTTGGGAGCTGGTACAGACACATGACCTCCTTCTGTACTGTAAAATTCTATGATTCTAAGTCTGTAAGAGCACACTTGAGTTTGGAATCTCTCCACATAGAGAATTATGGCTGTTCTTTCTTTATATTCTGAACTATTACATTAGCATTCACTTTCACTTTCTAATGCCCAGAGGTCTTACAGCTTCAATAGAGTGCTTTCGGTGTTGAAATGAATTATGGGAAGATGTGCCTCTATGGCAACCCACTGGGAGATCATTTTCCTTCCTCTCACAGGCAGTAAGCTAAGATCGTGTGCAAAACTAAGAACACAAATGCATCTGCACGCAACCCTTTTTTTCATTGATAAGGCTGTTTTAATATGTTTTTGAGTCCATTGTTTCTGGTTTTCAAGCCATGTGACCATCTCCATTCGCAATGTATTCCTTCCAGGTCATAGCCACCAGCTGTTTCACATCTGTGCAATCATCGGCACTCATTTCCAAATGGAAGCGATCATAATGGACATGACATTGCGCCACTCTTGGCTCTCACTTCACGCACCATTGCCCTCTTTCATGGGCACCATTGGTGCCCTTGGTTTTGCCCTTGTGTTGAACCTCCTGATCATTGCACTATTCTCCCTGGCTCTGTACTGGACACCAAAGTTGCCTGAACTGAGATATGAATACTTGAATGAGAAGTTCAAGACGGATTAGGATGTTACAACCCTGCTTCTTGAACCAGCTGAGAAAGAGGCCGAGAGTTTTTAAAGAGTGGGAGCGATTAGCCTAACACTTCAGCTATCACTACTGTGACATGGGAAGAAATGAAGTATATTCCTGTTTAAAATGGATATGTCTCCCAAATAACAGGCTGTGCCTTTTAATGGTAATCTTTAATAAGCTTGTGTCCAATGATGTGGATATTTATATTATACCGTGCGGGTTTTATTTACTGTGGTTATAAAATAGCCCTGGGGCTAGTGGAAGGTCAGTTCAGCTACAGCAGCCCATGTTTGATCACTGGTACCCAATAAGCACTTCCTTCGTGGAATATATCGTTGAACCTTCCTTGGTTGGATGTAGACTTGTGTTCTAAGAAGCCTGGATTTCAGAGTTTTGGGAAGATGAATAGACAAGTTTTGACATAGCTGAAATAGTGGAGAACTCTTGTCATAGGGGTGGTTAAGGGTTAGTTATTAACCTTAATTTAAGGATATTTTCTCATCAACCTGTTCAAAGATTTTATTACAGATCTCTGGAGCAGGTGGTACTTGAAGCCGGGACCTTTGATTTAGTGGTAGGGTGTCGAACTATGTCATCACCAGTAGGGCTGTAATCTTGAGGTCTGTCCTTTTGATGGGCTATTAGGGATAGTCAATAAATGCTGGCCCTGTCAGTGATGCCGATTATCCTGTGAATAAATTCAAAAAGAGAAGCTGGAATAACTTCAATCTGGCCGTCAGTTGTGGCTGTAGATCAGGCATGACAGCCAATCACATGGCTAAAGGTTTCACTGGGTTTCCCAGTGTTTCTCTACAACTCCATTGACGACAGATGCCATTTCTCTGGCTGACACGTTCACTGACATCTCCGATGCTGGCTTCAAAGTTTCAGTCGATTAAAGACCAAGGGGAGTGAGCTCACTATCCAACTGGGTGGGAGGGTGGAGGGCTGATAGAAGGCCCTTCAGCCCCTTGGAGATTGGCAGTCCCATTGGCCAAAGTGGGAGCTGAGCATCGGAAAAGGGAAAAGGTCCAGAGTATTTTTTAATATAAATACATATCAGAAAAGACCCAAGCTGCTAGGCTACAGGCATAGCATAGAGAGGCAACCACACCACACCTGCACCCTCAACACCCCCCACCCACCTCCTTAAGCATGCCCCTAACAAGCCTATAACAAATCCACCAGAGATCACAGTTGCAGCCCATGGTGCAGATGGTGAGGGGAGCTGGGGTGTCTCATGGGATCACACATCACACTATTTAACTTAAGGAGAGAGGGAGATAGATACACTTGGAGAGGAATTTCGGAGCTTAAGGATAATAAATTAGGGCCTTGACTTTCATTGTTAGGGGCAGGAATTGGAAGAACGCAGAGATCTTTGAGGGTTATAGAATTCAAGAGGCTACAAGGATGGAGAGGAGTGAGGAACAGAAACCATGGAAGGGTGAGAATTTTCAAAGAGAATTTTAAAACTTCACATTGCATCTAGCCCTGTAGATCAATGTCTAAATGTAGTCTCTAGAAAATTGGTTCACATATTTGTTGCCCTTCCTGAAATGCCTGGAAAGAGATCTTTTGTTTTAACAAATAGTTTCTTGTGTGGTTCCTAACTTCCTTGAAAACAGTGGGAGGAAACTTCACTATGAGTTGGCTGCATTACAAAGACTTCCTAAGCTTATCTCATTGAGAGAAATTAACAAAAAGTGTTTCTAAAATGAAAGAAAAGTTCTGCTTTTTCTCAGAAGAGTGAACAGAGGAATGCTCTCCTCCCATCTTTCAAAACATCCCCAGTTTTCTTTTTCTAAGAATACTTAGGTATTGTTACATTGCAACCTCAGAGTGAAATCCATAGACTGACAAATTAGCATCACTTCCTTGAATGTTGCAGGTCTGTAGGCCTTCGAGGGACTTGCAGAGGAGATTTATTGGAATGGTACCAGGGATTAAGCATTTCTGTTATCACAGGAGCTGTGATAGTTTCCATTAAAGAGACGGCTTAGGGCAACTGCATTACAAAACCTCAAAACGATGTCTTTTTTCAGCCCAGTGATTGAGATGGTGTGAACTGCATTGAAAAACTGCAACATCAGCATTGTTAGGAAAAGGTTAAAAAAAACATAAATAGTCAAACCTTCCAACATGATTCTATTGGAAGGAATTAGTCTGATAAGATTTGCATTGTTATGCAACTCCTTTCATAAGCTCAGGAAGACCCCAGGGCACTTTCCGGTCAATGAAGTTCTTCGTGCAATGTAGGAAATAGTAATTTAATCATCTTAACCAGCTCAAGTACAAAGCAAATAATTGAACTTGTAATTACATGAGGGTGTACAAAGTACGCTGACTATTGTCCATTAAATTAGCAGAAAATCTAATCCATCCATTTTGAATGGTTTGCTTTAATGAACAGGTATTTGACATAAACATGTTTAGCCTTGAAAAACTAATATCACACAGTACAACTTCGCTGTCCTGATTGAGAGCAATTACAATTGGACCAAGTAGGGACCAAGTAGCCATCACTCCATACTCCATTAATGGGACAGTCCAAGTGGGAAATAGAGCTTGAAATTAAATATATTATTAGTAACAAAGGTTAGAGATTTCATTGTTTGACATAATGTTTACAGTGTTTATGCTTCTCACAAGCATTCTCCTCCGACACTATACTTTATCCAGTTCTGTCACTGTATCCTTCTGTTTCTTTCTCCCTCGTGTTTTTCCCTAAAATGCATTAGTACCATTTGCCTCAACCACTCCATGTGGTGTTTGCTGTGCTGTGTGAAATTAGCATCTGAAGTTTTAAAATGTTTATGCCAAATTGCTTTGTTTTTTCAAAGTGAGAGGGAGGTTATGTGAAGGATGCCAATCCTTTTTTCACAGCCCATTGATTAGTCGTATGTTTAGTATAAGTTAAATTGGCACGGAGTCTGTGCCAGCCTTGTGTGCATGTGGAATAAGCTCCATACAGCTCTTTTTTTTTCAAAGCACTGAAGTTTGCATTCTCAATTCAAGTCAGATTGCAAAAGGTCAAAGCACCCATCATTCTTTAATGACTGACATCCTCGTTAATATAGTCGCAGGGGAAATCAATCCTAGTATGATTTTGAAAGGAATTTATGGATATCTTCATATATCTACTTATGTGTTATTTAAACTACTATGCATCATTTTGAAGATATTGATCTTTTAACTAATGAGACAGAATTAATAGAAATGGACTGTTTACAATGGATGAGGGGTTCAGAATGAGGGGATACAGATATATGATTTAGCATGTTTGTCATACACAGAGATGCAGTGTACACTACCGACTGAAACAAAGGCTGTGCCAAACATCAAGGCTGGCTTCCAAGGTTGAAGGCAATGGGATTAACGGTTAGTGGAACCAAATGAGTTAATGGGATTAGGGCCGTTACTTTTACAAGTGATGAAAACGCAGGACAAACTACTTAGGCTGAATAGATGCACTATATAACACTGTCTGTAGAAGTCAATATTACATTAATCTCAATGTCTTGTTTGTGGAATCAACACCTTGCTTTATATAAGGATGATACCTCTTCAGCATCAGGTCCCACCCGATGCTTCAATTGCCCAAATAATGTGAAAGTAGGAGTCGGAGGGTGTTTTTAGTTTCGGGCAGTTGATCCATTTCTCTCCTCCCTCAATCCTGGCCTCCTTTACCCCTCACCCAGCGTCCCTGCGACTTGAGAACGTAAGTTTGATCAGAGAGCCAAAGGGTGAGGTGGTGGGTGAAGATCATGGCACATGCTACGAGCAAAGATTTTTTTCCCACAAAGTTGGAAAGATGAAACAGATCAAGGCACAGAAAACAGAAATTACAGGAGAAACTCAGCAGCTCTGGCAGCATCAGTGAAGAGAAACACAGAGTTAACATTAACTCTGTTTCTGTCACCACCAAAGCTGTCAGAGCTGCTGAGGTTCTCCAGCAATTTATGTTTTTATGTGTTTCAGATCTCCAGCATCTACAGTTATTGTTTTATTTTAGATCAAGGTATATTGATTTGGGAATAGCGGAATTTTGTAAGGTTGTATCTTTTTGATGGAAATAGAGGATCCATAGACTTTAGATCCTGGAAGAGAATAAAATTGGATTTGGAAACATTGTGATGAGTTTATAAAGTATTGATTCGAACACTTTGTTGATAAAGAGGATGGAGATTATTTGAAAAAAAATCAATATATTTGTTTAGTATAACCTTCAACACATTTTTCTCTGAATTTTTCAATAATTTCTAACATTCAACGATCTGTGAGGCAAAACAACTGGACGTGGGATATGTTGCATCTCTGCGCAATTTATCTCTGATGTAAAATACTCATCTGGGAGAGAGTGCATAATGACTCTATTGCTAACAATTTAGTGCAAAGAACTGCAGTCCAAAGCCAGATCTGTTCAGGTTACTGTGATGTTACAGGATGTTGGTGATGAGGGAACCATGTTAATTGAGTTTTCAAATTGCATCTGGGAATGTCGATAGAGAGAAACCAAATGCAACATTTCCTGCTTTTTTAAAACCTGGGATTCCAACACTGCATTTGATTGGCTATAATAGGAAAATGTCAAGTAATTTGAATAGAAGCAAAATTTTGCAGGGCAGCCTCCCAGTTTCTTGATGGGTAACCTGGTGGTTGGAACTCTCAATGTTGCAGGAGAATGTGTGCTTTCAACATATTGGCATGTAACTCTACATGGAAATTTTGTGTGGGTGTTACTCCCACAGCCAATATATTGATGTTCACCAATGGAGAAAGTGAATCTCACAACTGATTGCAATTCCTGATTTAGAAAGTAAAGGGCCCAGATTCTACTGATAGTCTCTGAGCAAAGTCACGATACAGTTTTAGCATTTCGTTCTAATAATTTGTTGTTGGTGTTAAGCATAATTCCAGGGTCTAGGTTAAGAATGGTGAACCAATTTTCACTGAATAAGGCAAATATCTATCTATACCTATCTGCATCTCAAGCATGGGCCAATATTTAACAAAATACTCTATATGACGAGTGCTTGAATGGAAATATTAGTGTAGATTTTAAGTTACAGATGAGAACAAAGCTTTAAGACGACCAGAAACAAACGTTTTAGGTTGTGGTTTACTTTTGTAGAATAAAGTATTTGATTGCACATTATACTTGGAGCAGTCAATTAGTTGAAAGACAATATACTTTTTGTGCAATGATTGATTTTATTGAAAAATTAGGTAATTTTCCCACAAGGAGCACAATTTCAAAATCAGTGATGTATGAGAGTTCATGAGATGAATGATGAAATATATATGTGGTGAATGGTGATGGTAGTATACATCCAATTGCCGACAAGCAAAAAAATTGAAGTTTTGAATATATCTGTTAGAAAGGATTTTAGATGCTAGCCTCGGATCTAAATTCAAATTCTATTGAGATTATTGTAATTAAAGTCTCCTTGGTTTCAAGCGGCCTACTTAAAATGAAGTTGGGCAACCTCAATCCTGATACTGTTGCAGGAGAATATGTGCTTTCAACATATTGGCACTTAACTCTATTGTGTGGGTGTGAGTCCCTCAGCCAATATATTGATGTTCACCCATGGAGAAAGTGAATCTCACAACTGATTGCAATTCCTGATTTAGAAAGTAAAAGGCCCAGATTTCACTCCCATTTTAAATTGGCATCTGACCTCAATAAACTGCTGATCTCTCCCCAACAAACATCAGGCGGCCGGGTGTAAGAAACGGGAAGAGAAATGTCACAATTAACTGTAATAAGTCAGGAAGCCTAACTGAAAAGGAACATCATTTATTGCTAACTAGCAAAATAGAGCCACTACTTGTGATGTACATAGTCCCAGTCCAGGACAGACAATGCTATAGATCCATTCCTGGGTCTGCTTTATCAATTTTAGGTATTTTCTAGTCAACCTGTTTAGTAACATGTTGTCTGGTATTAAAACCCTGGTGGCTCAGTGGTTAGGACTCTGCTTCACAGCACCAGGGACCCAGGTTTGATTCCAGCATTGGGCAACCATCTGTGTGGAGTCTGCACATTCTCCCCGTGTCTGCGTGGGTTTCCTCTGGGTGCTCTAGTTTCCTTCCACAGTCCAAAGATGTGCAGGTTAGGTGGATTGGCCATGCTAAATTACCCATAGTATCCAGGGATGTGCAGGCTAGGTGGATTAGCCATTGGGTAGGGGATGGGTCTGGGTGGGATGCTTCTCGGATGGTTGGTGTGGACTCAATGGGCCAAATGGCCTGCTTCCACACTGTAGGGATTTTAGATTCTGTGACCTCTGGAACAGGTGGGACCTGAACCTGGGTCTCCTAGCTCAGAAGTGGGGACAGTACCTCCCACCCTCATTCTGTGTCTCCTTTATAGAGGGTTCAGGTGATGAGTTCCAGTTGGCAGGCCATTGCCTGTTACCAAAGGGAACTCCATAAGCTCCATGAGGAGATTATTTAGGGATTCCCAATAGGCCTCATAAGGGTAATCACACTTAGACTTTACTGAGTTTGGGGCTGAGGCATGTTAAAATGGTCTAGTAAACTCTCTTATGCCACACTGCATCTGAAGCTAATACAATGCAGTAGAAATTTGTTTTGTGCAGTTGTGGATTCGCTGCCTGTTATATGGCCCCATGGAATAATAACTGTGAAGCTTGGCAGGCAGTGTATATACCAGGGAGCAGGTGTAGTCGCATCTGGATTGCACACATATTCAAGACAGGTTTCTATCCTGGGTGCCTTCAACAGTAAATGTTCTATCCCCTGGCACAATCTCATAGATTTATTTAGCACAAAAGGAAGCCATTCAGCCCATTGTGTCTGTGCCAGCAAAGTAAATGCTATCCAACTTAATCCCGCTTTCCAGCTCACAGTCCATTATCGTGTTGGTTGCAGCTCTTCAAGTGCACGTCCAGGACATTTTTAAAACGTGATGAGGGCCTCTGTCTGTACCACCCATTTCAGGCAGTGAGTTCCAGAATCCCATCACTCTCTGGGTGAAAAAACGTTCTGCTCAACTTCTCTCCAACTCGTCAATCGAGAACTATGCCCCCAACCCTCCGCCACGGTTCTGGAATCATAGATTGCATTAAGTCAATTCAGTGAGCACAAAATAAAACAACAAAAACATATTCGGCTGCAAAATACTATGAAAAGAATACTTTGCAGCTATTGATATACTTTAAAGAGCTTTAACATGTTGTCTGGTATAAAAAACCTGGTGCTGTTTTGTCAGAGCAGTTGGATACAATTACAAGGGGTGTTTAAATGTAATTATAGCTAAAGCACTATTGATTAATCATGAGAACTAGAACTGGTTTACCAGCCGCTATTAATGGCTTCTGAAGCAGCCAGTTTCTTTTTTCATTAGAAACACAGCAAATAGATTAAAATGCTTTTGAGTGCTTTCTCAGTTTCTGTAATCTAGGCAGAAGTGCCTGTAGATAGTAGGAACTGCAGATGCTGGAGAATCCGAGACAACAAGGTGCAGGGCTGGATGAACACAGCAGGCCAAGCAGCATCATAGGAGCAGAGAGGCTGATGTTTCGGGCCTAGACCCTTCATCAGAAAAGGG